AATTCTCGTTTAGGATTTGGGAGATTTGCTAAAAAATTGAAATTCTCGTTCACTGCCTGGGAGATTGAGATTTGGGAGTATGGGTACTGGTTATGACTATATGCCTTCATGGAAGAACGGATTGATTGATGAGCAGATGAGATGTTCCAAGTTTCAAATTCCATGGATAGGGTTTGGGCCTGTCTTGTTATTGTTAGGACTTGGGCCGTCGGGCTTGGGGCCTGTAATTGTTGTGTTCCATAATTTTTATTTAATGCCTGTGTTGGACTTGTTTAATTTATATGTACAGGTTCGGTTTTCGGTTCGGTTCAGTTAACCGAGAGGTTATATCCAAACCGAACCGAAAAGCAAAATTTTAAAAAATTATAAACCGAAACCCAAACCAAATTTTCGGTTTCGGTTTCGGTCGGTTAACCAAAGTTTGTGCACCCCCGGGAGAAATAGTGAGCATAACAGTTAAGAGATGTAATAATGCAAAATGTATTATCTCAAGCGGACATGTCCAGAAATTTACCTACACTTTGTTGACAAGTTACATTTATTTATAATGCCATTTTCTGCTGCTGTTACATAAATTTGATACAAATTCGTACATGTTTATATAAATAGATCTAAAATAAGAAGAAGAAAAAAATTGTAGAATGTATGCCTTACAATAACGTATAATTTGTAGGTGAAACAATATGGTTGACGAACTCCTATCTTTGTTCAATGTCATGCTACTACCAACTAGCCCGAGCACGGTATGCTATGTTTATACTTTAACTATCTATAAATGTTTATTTTGAAAATTTCCAGGAGTTAATTAATTATGTATATTTCAATTTGAAACCAATATTTTTTGTAGAGAATTCCACCAGGAAAAGAAAGCAAAAGCGATTCCCGTAGTAGCGGCCAGCGAAATGGGTGCAGCCTAAACCGTGAAAACTGGGTTGTGGGAGAGCAACACAAGCGTCTCAGGTGAAATCATTCCATTTTTTCCACAAACGTGCATTTTGGAAACCAGGGAAGGACGAGGATGAATAAAATCTTCTCATATTTGAAAGATGCATGAGACATTTCGTGCAATTAAAAGAAATAACTTTAGGGTGCTTTTTTCTTTTTGAGCGAATTAGCTTGTTAGGTTTTCGTGTTTTGATTTTTGACACAGATGGTTGTGCAAGACTGACACAATACTGTTCCCAACGAATCATAAAATAAACTCACATCCAACGAACGAGCACCTCTGATAAGCATTTATTGTGTACAATTACCCATTTATTTAGTAAATTGTGAAATGGTATTCATTCAAATTATTCTCCTAATTTGAGTTGAACTCATTTGTAATTAGAGGTGGCCACGGGCTAACCTGGCTCGCCGAACCGACCCATAATTGACCCGGCTTGGCCCGATCCCAGAACCGGCCTGGTCCAGCCCGGCCCGGACAAGCCGGGTTATGAACCGCCCTGAAACTTCTTAAGGGCCAGTTCAGGTCCATCTTTTATCCATTTTTGACCCGTCAGTTTCGGGTCGGTTCTTTTTTCCGACGGGTCGTAGTTTATTTTTTATTTTTTTTAAGAAATCCGGCGGTTCAACGAATTGTCGGGCCGGGCCGGTTCAAATGAACAGGCCCATAGAAATTGTTGGCCCGGTTACGGGTTGAACAATTGAGGCCCGCCGACCCGACAGGCAGGGCCGGGCCTGGCAGTTGGCCATGTCTATTTGTAATGTAGCCAATTCTAATACCGTTTTGAAGATCAAACATTGAAGATACAAACGGCGGTGCAACTAAAAATTTGCTCAAAGTTGGAGAGAATAAATATGAGACAAACATAGCTGATGTTGAGGGGGAAAATTGATGCAAAATGAAAGATGACAAGATTTTCTTAAATGAAAACAACATTACAGAAGGGACACTTTGTGAGTTCATACTTCTCACGGAAAAAATTGATGCAAAATAAAAGATGATAGATTTCCTTAAGTGAAAACAACATTACAGAAGTGTCTCTTTGTGAGTTCATACTTCTCCTAGAAGTAATTACTTTTAGGGTTAGAATTTTTGAAATCTTCGTAGTGAACTCATTACTTCGTGTTGTCGCACGCAACATTTTCTGATTTAATGTATATTATAAACATTGTAAATTTTTATTAAACATTGAATCTTTTGTAATTTCTTTGATATTATTTTGCATTCTAAAATCTTCTCTAATTTGTTAATTTCATAATTTTACAATTTTTTGTATCACGCATTCTTACAGTTTATATACATTCCAATATATTCATGTCACAATAGATTTCTATTCATCTATCTAAATACAAACAATTACAAGTTATATAGTACTCACATATTTCATAATTAAAACAATTTTTAACCTAAAATTGGGCTCGGCTGTGCCGGAGACAAACTAGTTTGCTATAGAGATAAAACTCTAGAGAAAATTACTCCTGTCACAAAGATAAGATCATTTATATTGCATGTTTACAACCTAATTAATTTATTTAGCACATTTAACAAAATCCCACCTTTTATTTGCTGTAATACGAGAAACCCATAATTATAGAAGCTAACTAATTTACTGAGATCATTTTATTAAATCTGCGGTCCTTTTTCTTCCCCGCAAATTCACTGTAGCAAATGAAAAAATAAAACCCAGATCTAGACCGCATCGCCTACCTTCTCCTTCCGGCGGCCGCGCCTGCCCGACTAGGCCCTGGTCGCGGCTTGGCCTAGTTATTCATCACCGCAAGCCCCCGAGCATGTTGATGGTGGGCGAGTCGTTGTCGTTCTCCACCTTCTCCCCGTCGCCGTCAGATGATTCTTTGTCACAGAAGTTGGTGTCATATCCAGATTTCATGCGTTTCTAACGTAATCTCTGAGACCGTACGACGACTTCCGGCGGTCGATAGTGGATACGACGGGCACGCGGATGGCGGACGGAGCGCATGGATTGGTAGTTTTTGGAGTTTTCTGTTTTTATAAACGTGACACCTAGATCTGGTGTTGTGCCCAAACTCGACAACTATTCGATGTATATTTTATGTATATCTTCAATATATATATATATGCTTTATATGTGTAGTATATTTATATTTTTTTTGGTTGTTTGTGTAGTTGAAAATATATATTCTATATATTTTTCGTATATATACTATTTATATTTTTCATATGTACATAAAAATATTTGATGTATATTTTTTGTATATCTTCCGTATATATATGCTTTATATGTGTAGTATATTTATACTTTTTTTTGTTGTTTGTGTAGTTGTAAATATATATACTGTATATTTTTTGTATATATACTATTTATATTTTTCATATGAACATAAAATGTATATGTGATGTATAATCCAACATAAACGAAGACTGAGATAAAAAATGCTGACATAAAAATATTTCTCTCTCCAGACTTGCATCCCGTCAGTTACGGAGATCTGTTATGGCAAGTTATTTGTTGCTAATTATATTGCACGTATATAACTAATTTGATTAGGTTTGGTATAAATGCAATTAAATTTTATATCTATACTTATATAAAAAGGCATTCTATTTACTATAATTAGTACTAAGAAAAGTCAAAGGTAATTAATGTATTCTATTTCCATCAAGTATTTTATTTAATTATCTTAGTTAATTGTTTTATCTCATAACACCTTTTTAATACAACTTACCATGATTTTTCTATTGTGATTAAAAACCAAATTTTACGTTTAAAATCTTGTGAAATTATTATTATTATTTTTATAAAGCACATATTATTTGTTAAAAAATTGCATATATATATATATATAATACACATCACAGTACCATGGTAGATGATTTAAATTTCAACCGACCAAAATGCCAATGATTTAAATTTAAACACACCTATGCGTTTGGCCAAATGTCTGAATGATTTAAAATTGAGCCCATAAAAAATTATTTAAATTTGAACACACCAGAAATTTTATGTACTTTTTATTTATAAATATATTGAAAGTGGTATTTAATGACTGTTATATAAACTATTTTAATATATATTCGCAATGAATCAAAGTTTGAATGAATAATTTGTAATGTTATTCATACCTAACTCCATATATATTTGTCGGGGGGGGGGGAGGGGTTTAATTATTTTTTAGACTTAACGTTGATTAAAAGAGGTAGAAAGTAGATAATAACATTATTACTTTTTAGACTTAAACGGAAAAGGCTGTGAAAATAATTCATTTAATATCTTTGTCTCGTGCATCGCACGGGGTACGTACTAGTTTGATATATATACAAATAAAATAAAATTGATTGATTAAAGCAAAAGTGTAAATTAGCCAAAACTCTATGGTGGGGTTTATTGGGCTTTTTCTCCCTCCTTACTTGAGCCCTCGTAGAACAAACTATCAAATCAAATTACTTTGTTTCAAAAAATAAAATAAAATAATAAAAAAAAAATCATTATTTTCCCCCTTAGTTGAGAAAATCAGCAGGCGCGTTCACAGAAAAATGTCGTCTTCTTCGAGCAGCGGCCTAACGTTCAAGCTCCATCCCCTCGTCATTGTCAACATCTCCGATCACTACACTCGGGTCAAGTCCCAGTCCCTTCCGCCTCCGGATGCCCGCAACGGCGGCGAAAATTACGTGGTCTCTCTTCCGTCGCCGCCGCGCGTGTACGGATGCGTCATCGGCGTCCAGCGCGGCCGCATCGTGGAGATCTTCAACAGCTTCGAGCTTCTCTACGACGCCTCCACCCACTCGCTCGACCGCGCTTTTCTCGAGAAGAAGCAAGAGCTTTGTGAGTAACTTCATATTGTAGGTTTATTTTATTGGGAGGAAATTAGAAGTACTGATCCTTAGATGTGTTGGGCAGATAAGAAGGTGTTTCCGAATTTTTACATCCTGGGATGGTACTCAACGGGGAGCGAGGCGCTAGAGTCCGACATGATTATTCACAAAGCTGTGAGTGAGCTCTTAGTTCTTTTGCTGTATAGTTTCATGATTGATCATAGGGTATTGTGATTTTATTTTTTGTCTTCAGTGTGTATCACTTGCAATTTCTAACCCTAATGCGGGGACATGGAGAAAAATTGTATGAAGTTGGAGTCAATTTTCTGGACAGTTGGTGAAATTTCCTATTTGCTCGAACTTTAGGTTCTGCTGCATTGCACCTTCTTTCTGGTTAATTCCTACTTAGGCAATTAGCATACCTTTGCCTTTAATGATATATTGTATCCATTTCATCATATTTTGTTGTGATTTTGTGCCTGCATATCCATCATATAGTTCCGCCATCGCTGAAACTTATTTTCTTTTCCGGTTTCTGACAGCTGATGGATATCAACGAGAGCCCTGTTTATGTTCTTCTCAATCCTTCCATTAATCCTGCACAGAAAGATCTGCCCGTTACAATATATGAAAGTGGTACGTACTTATTGATCTTTTGTCACTGGATTTCCTGAAATCCTTCTCTGAATAGGTCTCACCTATGTGATATGGTGATTGTTGTATCGCACTTTTATGTGTCAACTGTGGTTTTAGGTCAAAACATGAAGAAGCATTAACATAGAGATTTTTCAGGCTTTCTGTACTTCTGAGTCTATTGTTTGATTTTAACTGGACAAAGACACCTGTACTATGTTATGATTGATAACATCAAGCTCAGAGCTATCTAGAACATCTTGAGTACTTCGGATCTGAGAAGCTAACTGCTCGAATTTGGTTGATGAACTTGTAAGCATGTCTAGTGCCATGTGAAAGCTAACTGCTTTTGTTGACCAAACATAACTATCCAGAGTTGCATGTTATTGATAGCATCCCCCAGCTTATTTTTGTTCGATCAAGTTATACCATAGAGGTACGCATTGTTCCTTAATTTTCAACATCATACTTTAGGCAAGACTGAGAATACGCGAGCATTTTTAATGTATAATTTTCTTTAACTTGCTTTCTAGACAGTGGAAGCTGAAAGAATATCTGTTGATCATGTCGCCCATCTTAAGCCATCTGATGGGGGTTCAGCTGCAACTCAATGTGAGCCTTTTGCCCCCTTTTTTT